AATATGCACATTTCATATCCATGGGGTCTCATTTCACAGCAAAGAGTGTCGCACTAGTGTTCTTCGAACAGATCTATAAACTGCATGGATTGCCAGTGGATATTGTTTCTGATAGGGACAAGGTTTTCACCAGTTTGTTCTGGCAGGAGCTTTTTCATCAGGTGGGAACTACCCTTAGTTTCTCATCTTCATATCATCCCCAATCTGATGGACAGACTGAGCGAGTAAATCGATGTCTGGAAACTTACTTGAGGGCTATGTGTTTACAACAGTCTGGCCACTGGAAGAGATGTTTGCCTGCAGCTGAGTGGTGGTACAACACCAATTTCCATTCTAGTTTACAGATGACACCCTTCCAAGCACTCTATGGTTATAAACCAACACAGCTCTGCCTACAACCAGACAACACCCAAGTAGCTGCTGTGGAAGACTGGTTATCTGAGAGAGTGAATTGGAATTCCCTATTGAAGGAAAATCTGCTGCATGCTCAGAACCGTATGAAACAATTTGCAGACAGGCACAGGACCGACAGGGCATTTGCCGAAGGGGATTGGGTTTACCTGAAGCTACAGCCTTATAGACAAACCACTGTGGCTGTTCGAAAGAATTTGAAGCTGGCAGCTAAGTATTATGGACCCTATCAAATTGAAAAAAAGGTTGGAGCAGTAGCCTATAAACTCAAGCTGCCTCCCGGAGCTACAATTCACCCTGTATTTCATGTTTCGCTTTTAAAACCATCCACAAAGGGTGCTCCAGCGAGCACAATACTACCTCAGCCAAATGAGGAGGGCTCTTTTGCTATCATCCCTTCCTCTATACTGGATCGCAGATGGACTGATAGGGGTGGACACAAAGTGGAACAGATTCTGGTGCAATGGAAGGACTTACAGAAGGAGGATGCAACATGGGAAGACCTGTCAGTCATCAGGAGTCAATTTCCTGATTTCAATCCTAGAGACTAGGATTGTTTTTAGGGGAGGCAAATGTAATGATTCCGCAGGAAATAAGACCAAATAGTTAACCAAATTCTGTTAGCCAAATACTACCTTGCGGAAATTGTTATAACAGCTACCACTTGCAGAAGTTGGTTATTGATTAGTTAGTGAGGAAGCTTTCTATTAATAGGCCAATGCTAATGTAAAGCGTTAAGCAATATTTGATCATTGAGAATACAACTTTCCCGCTTCTTCTATTCAGTCTGCTTCTCCCCTTTTTCTCTCAACCCTTCTCTCCATCTCCTTCTATACTTCAGTTCCTTAGCTGAGTCAACCAATCCCCCAATCCCCAACCATTACATAGTTCTAGATAACTTATTAGATTAAATTATTTTCCTAAATTTAAGATAAGTGTGTTAAAAAAAACCGTAGAAATGTGAGTTAATTTTTTAGTCCTATTTTTTAAAAAAAAAAAATAACATAAAGCTGCCTACTACACTTGCTAATTATCTAATCGGAGCCAAATGCAGGATCCAGGTGTATATATGTATAAACCCATCCTAAAATCCTTTGTGAGTTTCTACTGTTGGTTGGATGGGCTTCTTTTTATTTGTGAGTTAATGTCACATTGTTAGGTATGCAAGTATTTTTCAGACATTAAAGGATGTCAGTTAAATATCCCATATTGATATTCCAAGAATTTGTGGACATATATACAAGATGTTGGGTTATTCCACTGATCGCCAATTTATTTTGATATGAAAGTTCAAGTTATTTAACATGGTATCAGAGTTAGGCAGAGTTGGATCTTAGATTTGTTTGTTATTTCATGGGTGGATTTGTTACCCCATTTATTTTCTCCGTGACTTGGTTCTTTCTTTAATGGTTTAATCCCATTTGTCAAGTCATGTTTTCAAAGAAGTGCTAGTTGAATATCTCACCTTCATATTCCAAGAATTTCCAACCATATATTTAAAGTGTTGGGCCACTCCACTTATCAGCAATTGATTTTGAGCTGAAAGTGGAAGTTATTTAACAAAGGACAAGGTGATGCAATGCTTTCAAAAAGATATCAGAAGAGTCAAAAAGACTTTTTCGGGCAGTACAGTTTAGAGGGCATAAGAAACAAAGAAAGAAAAGAATAGTCTGTACGGTAGATTAGGCTTCGAAATATAGTACCTTTAATTTTTGAATATAATTATATCCAAGAACTTTTGCTTATGATGGAGACCTCTAAGGAGCTAAAGTTTCCCCATTATGTTTTCAAACATATCAAAACCAATAAAACAAAAAAAAAATTGCAAATCCGCTTGCAAGATAGGAGTCCACTTGGTCGGGAATGTTTGCCAGCATTCTCAATCCCGTCGAACCCACAACAGCTCAATATGACACTATTCTTCTAAATAGTCTGATCGAATATGTACTCCTACACGAATGGCTTATGCTGCTCAATCATGGTGCAAATCCTACACCAATACTGTCATTTACAATTTGATAAGGAGAGAAAGATCAGTTTGTCAATTATTCATTGGTTTGTAATTATTGATTTGTTTGTGAATAATTTTTTTTCAAATCATCCATTATTTGTGTTAACTTTAGGGACTGTAATCAGAAGTTTTAATTAAAATCAAACTTTCACCACTGCAAATATACAGGTTGTACACGAGTATAGGAAATATTCAAATGTCAATCCTATAGGGAAAGATGATCAACTGCCAAAACTACTTAAATTCCTTTATTATTCAGACCAAACTCAATGACAAGAAAATAATGTTACACTAGGAAACATAAATTGAACAAAACACGAGAAAAGCTCCTAGAATCGGTTTTCTCTCTAACCTTATTAGATAAACAACCCAATTATTGCAATTTTATCACCTTGACTAAGCATGGCATAATTTCTTAATGTATGTGAAATTTACTCTTGTGTAGTAAATCAATTATATTTATAACTAATCCACACCTGCTCTCGTGATTATGAAATTAATTATAAGTTCATTAAGGTCTTTGAAATTACATGATAAAAAGTCACAAAGGTGCTTCTCTAAATTATTGAAAAGTGCTTTTGCAAGTAAATTTTGGAGAATCTAAGTGTTTTACAACCCAAAACCTCAGAGCTAATTTCTGAAATAATGTTATAATCAGAACTATTTCCCAATATAACACTTTTCTAAAACTATTCCTTAATCTAATGCTCCTTGTGGTTTGTTTGACAAAACTATATACACCAAACTCAGCACTTTATTGTTCCTCGCAAACCAAACCTGTCATTACCTTCTATTCCTCTACCTATGTTCCACAATCTTTTTCGCGTTCTCCTTTAATTGGATTTAACTATTAAACAAATTGAGATTTTTCTCGTTAAAAAAAAAATTTATTAAGTGAATGTTTGTAAGAAAATTTATTTATGGTTTTCGAAAGCACTTCTATTGGAAATTGATCCAATAACCCAAAAACAATTTAACTTTTCCAACACCCAAACCAAGCTTGTTTTCAGGTAGATCCCCAAAATTAATATCCTTCAAATCTCACTTCTCCATTATTGCAATCACCTGAGTATATCGTAATTTAACAATAAAATAGTGTGATAATCACATTAGAAATTATGTGATAAAAACTTATGCATTTTACCAAGTACTAACATTTCATCTAGAAGCATAACCAATTGAGAATGGAGAGGTGGAAAACAGTATTCGTTTGAGTTAGAATAAACCCAAAAAAAATGTGAGAGATTTTCAAAAATGAAGGACAAGAAATATTCAAGAGTAATGAACAGATGGAAAAACTGGTAGTGGGATAAAGTTAGAAAGCACAGAGGTTAGACAACAAGGTAGTAAAATAGAAAAAGGCTGAGGAAATGTTGTGTCAACATGTCCTTGTAATTACAAACTTTTGCAATATAATTTATATTTTTGTTCCCCTGCTGCAAGTCTACAACTCACAAGAAGTATCAAATCGAGGAATAGTTTTGAAAAAGTATTACACTGGAAAATAATTTTAGTAATTATATTATTTTGGAATTTAACTCCAAAACCTCAAGTTATTCCCCTTCAATTTGTTTTTCTTAGGTGAAAGACATTAAAATCTAACGATTGGATAAGAAAGAAGGGCATCATAGCAATTACAATTTCGTCGATTGTAATTTTAATATTCAATTCAGAACATTATAGCCAAGATAGGTTGCAGGTATTGTATTGCACGCTAAAGTTTGATTTGTGCTATTGCAATTTTTAGATATGCTGGGGATTTTAACTATTATTGGGTTGGGATCTGGTCTCCTTAGTAGGGGACCGGTTGGGCTGTCAACAAAATCTACGATGTAGACGCCAATGCTCGCTACAATATTTTGCACTCTCTTGCCCCGAAATATTCTTGTGTATTACGTTGAAGTGTTCTAAACATTTTATGATAAATTACACTTTACACCCTGTAATATAGTGTTTTTGTACATAATCCTATATAATTTTAAAAACTATATATAACCCCCTCATAATTTGGTTTAAAGTGTCAAAATAATGGAATTTACAATCCGTAACGAAGTCGTATAAAATTTAAAAATACCCCTATAAATTTGAAAATTATTTATTAACTACAGGAGATTATGCGTATATTTTGACAGTCATAATGGAGTTATATGATAAAATATTAAATTATAAGAAAATTTTATAGTAAAACATAAAATCATATAGAGTTAATGCGTCATGTATATTATGTTTATATATTTTGATCACTTTAACCATTTTAAATTTTAAACAAGCGTAATTTCGATATTTTTAAAGATTTTGTTACGAATGATTATTTTTGTCACTTTGACACTTTAATTTAAATCATAAGAGGGTTATGTATAGTTTTTGAAACTATAGAGGATTATGTACAAAAACACTAATTTATAGGAGATAAAATGTAATTTGCCCAACATTTTTTTGCCTGGCAATTTTCACATTATCATGCTTTTGTTGTGGGTTCTTTAAGTATACTGGTTGAGAGAAAGAGGGAGAAGGAAAAGAACGAGAATGTGTGGGAAGCAGATGTGGCAGGGGAGGAAGGAGGGGAAAGTAGGAGGATATGGGGAAGAAAAGGGGAAGTAGGGAGGTGGGGAAAGGTAGAAGGAGGGACAAGAGAGGTGGCGAGTTGCGGAAGGAAGAGAAGGGAAGAAGTGGTAGCGGGTTGGATGGTGGACAAGGGAAGAAAAAGAAGAATGGGTGGTGGATAGCACTGTAAAGTGAGGAGGACTGGGAGGTGGTTACGGTGGTGATGGGTGTTGGCTATAATGGGGGAAACAGTGTTGTTTTTAATACACCAATTTTTTTCCCAAGACATCTACGGTAATTCCTAATACAATTATAATAGGTTATAGTAAAATTGTAAATAAATTCACGGAAAAAAAACACAACATCCAAACAGATCCTTTATTTGTCATTAGTTAAGCCAAAAAACGAAATCCTAATTAATTTCCACTCTAGATTACTAGTATTACCGAATAGTCAACACCTACCACATCGAAACCTCAAATCTTAAATCAGAAAAAAGACTTTAACTTTTAATAGTTGTCCATTGCTGACTTGTCAGTGTAATAGACCAAAACTATGTAATTCCTTCCAAGCCTGATTTTAATGGCCAAGTCAAAGTCTCTTAGGCTTGAATGATATGAGAAGCAACTAAACTGTTCGTCACCGTCAAAGATTTTTAAGTCTTGACCAAAGTGAAAGGTCAAGAGTATAAATCTTATCTGTCATTATTGTATCACTATGTGTGATTTCTCTAAAAATTCATATGAGTAGGTAGTATACTCGTCTAAATGATAATTCAGTTTTCATTGATTCTTCCAATTGTCTCAGTTGGGCCTCTCTTCCTCTTAGACCAAAACTCTGTAATTCTTTCCAAGCCTGATTTTGACAGCCAAGTCAATGTCTCTGAGTCTGAATAATATGAGAAGCGCTGCTTGCTCTAAATTTTTATTGCGACATTGCTTCATGTGTAGTTGCGTCTTCCAACAAATTTTTATTAGGGATAAATTCGTATACCTCCCCTGAGGTTATTGATAATTGTAAAAAAAACTCCCCTCAAGTTCTAAAAATTACACTTACCCTCCCATGTTTTTATTGTTTAAGTAACATTCAAGGTCCAAAAGGCTATATATTTTCCCAAAAATTTTATAATGCCCTTGAGTTATAATTCACCAAAAAAAAATAAAAAGGAAAAAATGGTTCACAGTCTCTATTTCATTCATCTTTATTTGCTATCATTGTTGCCTACCCATTAACATCCAAATCACCACTGAATTAACACTTATCTTTGTTCTAATGTTCCTCTTTTACTTAAAAATTTTTTATGCAGACCATTTATCAACTATAAAATGCTGCATTAGATATCCAAAAGTTTACATACAATCTCATATTAATATCAGATTTTGCTTAACATACAACAATATTTATCAATATCTCTAAATTTCAATTCTATGACTGCCACCTTTTTTATACAGAATAATCTAAGCCATCACTACTAATATCAATATTCAATATACTTCATTGGCACAAAGTTCAAAATCAATCAAATTATCTCTATAGAAATACATCAATAATTTAAATCAAAAATAGAAATACAATGTAGTTATAAATATACCATGAATGCTTTTTTTTTTCATAACATCCATGACAGTATAATCTATATTTAGTCTCTATTCCACTTCCTATCCTTAATTTTTTATTTTTTATCACTGTCATTATCTTCACCTCCATCTAGCTTGATAATGAAATTATTATTGAATTTGTCATTTGACAATTTCGATTTGCTAATGCCTATCAAAAATGGGCATAAGGAAACTATTTAATAATAATGAAAAAAGAGAATTAGGAATAGACACCAAAATAGGTAAGCATTGGTGGTTTGGTGTGTATGGTAGTTTTGTTAGTAGTGGTGACGGTACATATTTGGTTGATAAGAATAAATAAATGAGTTTGAAAGTTAAACAGATATAGGATAGAGAATTAAATTAGTGGTTGACAATAGATAAAAAAGTTTTAATATTTGATAGAGTTTTTCAATGAGTAGGCAATGAATGAAGGGCATTGTTGTCTTTTTATCATACCAAGGGAGGTCTCCGTAATTATGTAAACCTCAAGGGAGCTGAGTGAAATTGTAGAAAACCTTAGGACAGGTTTCTGAAATTACCCCTAAATTTAATCTATTCGGCACAATGCTCTAAAGAGACTATAGAATTCCCCTAATTTAAGAACTCTAACAACTGCATTAAAAATTCAAATCACCTACACCTGTTAGAAATTTAAATCGAGAGATACTTATTATGCTTAAGATTCATCCATTAAAGTTGAACTATTGAAGAGTTCATGGTTTAAGATGCACAAGTTTTTGCAAATTAGTGGGGGATTGTTGAGTAGTTTGGAAAACTACACAAATCTGTGCAAGTGTTGGCACCCCAAACAATGTGTTCTGAACTCTAAAGTCCAAATTGTGTCCAGATTTAACGATAACTCTCTTCAAATCATAGTTATTAAACGTGGTCTAGAAAGGAACCCGACAAAGAAGGTGGGTGAGTAGTTGAACTAATGGATCACTAAATATATATAAATATTATATCTTAATTTTTTATATAAGATATATGCTATAAACTATAATAAAAAAATGCCATAGCAAATGATCATCTAATTTAATTTGCTATAGAATTGTTAATTTACATAAGAATCAACAAAACATAAATTTCATTAGTAATCCACCAAACTTCAAGTGTAAAATTATATCTGTATTTAGTGTAATTATCTAACTTATTTACAAATTTTAAGTGCAAAAAATTATTAAAAACAATATTTGTCTTCAAAAAGGATTATGTAATATAATATCTTTGAAATCCATTTTATAACTTATAAAGTTTGGAGGGAGGCTAAGTTTTTATTAAAAGATTCCAAATAAAATTTTTTTGGAGAAATAAAAAGAAATAAAGATAAAATTGATAAAATGGTCATATAGTATAAGATGGCTATTCAACTTACATATGGCAAGTCGTTTGGTGGTGAGTATACTATAGATGCATGCTTAAAGTCTCAAGTTTGAATCTTGTTAGGAGCTTGCTAAAATTTTTGAGGGGTCATAAGTTTTTGTTAAAAGATTCTAAATAAATTTGTTTTGAAGAAATAAAAAATGAATAAAGATAGAATTGACAAAACATTCTTATAGTATACGAAAGCTATTCAACTTATATAAGGATGGCAATGAGGGCGGATACCCGGGGGTTGGGGTGGGGGGAAATTCCCCCCCTCTCCCACTCCCCCATCCCCCGCCCCGCCACCCCGCTTAAAAATATATAAATATTTATATAAAAATAAATATATATGTAATTATATATGTAATATTTAATTTACTTAGTTACAAACTTATGACAATGATATTATTAGTTATATGTATTATATAATGTATATTGGTATATGTATCAATTATACAAATAATTATATATGTCTATTAATAGAAATTATTAATTAGTTATACTAAATTTATTAATACATTTATACTAAATCCCTAATTACACTTAATACAATAACATTTTTTTCTCAAAAAAAAAGCACAAGCACAATAATGAATTAGTGATTATATTTGTACCAAAAGTGAAAACTTGACTACTTTAGTTGTATTTATTTCATCATATTGGATTGTATTCAAATAACTTTTGTTTGATTGTTTCTATAAGTTTCAATTGTGAAATTATAATGAATAATAATTTGGTGATGTGTTGATATTTTAGCACTTAATTATTTACTAAAATTTAACTGTAATAAAATTATATAACAAATTTTTATTAACTCCGCGGGGGAAGCGGGGCGGGGGGAGCGAGAGGCGAGGGACGTCCCCCGCCCCGTTGCCATCCATAAACTTACATATGGCAAGTGGTGTGGTGTTGAGTATGCCATAGATACATGCTTAAAGTTTCAAGTTTGAATCTTGGTCAAAGCTTACTAAAATTTTTTCCATAAAATCCGATTTGTTGACAAAAAATCGATCGGTTCCTAGTTTAATTTGGTTGAACTATCAGATCATTGACCAAACATTGTATTCTATGCTTAAACGATCCAATTAGAGACTCAACCCGATCCAATGACCGAGTCATTGGGATGATCGATTTGACTGCCGGGAAGAACTAGATTTAATAACTATGCTTTAAATACCTATTTTAACGTCTATAAAGAAGTACGATTTTTACACTTTGTTTTGAGAAATCAAGAGAAAAGCTTCGTTCGTCAAGTATTGATGGCAAGTCTGCCATTTATATGGCAACTCAAAAAATTTCCTTTCTCACCCAACTTGTATAATTAATTTATCCATATATAAATTCTGGAAGTTTGAAATTTGAATTACGGTTACAAAATAAAAGAAAAATGCATAACTATTGATAGTTGATTTATGTTACAATATTTAAATTTTGATCATCAAATGGAGTTGCGTCAGAATTTAATGAAACATTCTTCTACAAAATTAAATTGTGATCGATATTAGCCATACTTTATAAGTACATTAGCTGAGTCATGGATTCTTACGTGGCTGCAGCATTTTTACTCTTTGGAATTTTCCTTCATTGAAAATTTATGTGCCATATTACCTTCCTTTTAGAATATATCAATCCAAATCCTGCTCTTAATTTTTTTTTTTGCACAATCAACTTCATGGACAGATTTCAAATATCTCTAGGAATGTTAATTAGAATTAGAATTAATTACAAAACTCCCCTTGAGGTATAGTGACGAGCGCGGGGTATACATATATCAATTAACTTATCCACAATCAAGTTTTACATTTATAAATTTCTAAATACTCCACACGCGATTTTTTGCAAGTATACCAGTTGTGATTGAGTATAGGGTATTCAAGTATCGATCTCATAGGGAAGATTTTGAATTACTGGGGATTTTCGAATTCCTTTATTATCTAAACTACCATAAACGTAAAAGTAATAAAAATAATACTCCCTCCGTCCCACTTTGATAGTTCTGTTTTCCATTTTCATCTGTCCCAAATTGTAGTCCAGTTTCCAATTGAAGAATGTAGTTGTATTTTAATTTTTCTAAAATACCCTTATTCAATGTAAGTTGTTGTTACTATAAACCTATCCCATTTAATGAGAGTTGATTTTTTTTTTTTACCATCAATTCAAGTTCCCATAAAGTTATACTCTAATTAATGTGAGAGTATTTTAGAAAAATAGTTACCTAAA